AAATTTTATATCAATATTCATGTCTGTACCTACTGATCAACTAAAGCAGATCTCTCTCTCGCTCTCGATCTCTCTCTTTATTACACACACACACACACACACACATAGGGGCGGAGGGGGGGCTGTTTAATGCGTACTCACTTAACTCTCTCATACCTAAATATAATTTTATCGTCATCATTTATCAAAATGTGGTTATATCAAGTTATTATTTACCTAAATAGAACTTTATCAACTTCATTGTGCAGGACCGTGTGGCCTAACGGATAAGGCGTCGGACTTCGGATCCGAAGATTGCAGGTTCGAGTCCTGTCACGGTCGAAGATCTTTAACCTTTTTTCATGTCATTATATTAAGCGTGTCATGAAACAAGATCAGAGAAAAAGAGAGTGAAAAAGAGAGAGAGAAAGCGAGTGAAAGTTAGGGTGAGAGAGAGAGAGAGAGAGAGAGAGTGAGACAGAGAGAGAGAAAGCGAGTGAGCGTGAGAGTGAGAGTGAGAGTGAGATTAAGAATGAAAGAGAATGATTGTGAGAGTGAAAGTAACAGTCAGAGTGTAAGAGTGAGAGGGAGAGTGACAGTGATAGTGAAAGTCAGAGTAACAGAGGGATAGGGAGAGAGAGAGTGATAGAGTATGCAAGAGTGAGAGCGAGAGTGAAAGTAAGAGTCTTTCACACCAAAGGATGGATTACCTGTGCAACCGATTACAGACTAGCCTTCCTGATCGTATAGCATATAGCATCGACACAATAATTATCACGTCACCAAAATTCGATTTAACCACCGAATTCATTTAAACATTTAACCTGAAATTTGATCAGCAAGTAACGAAAACTCCCTTTCATGATTTCAACAACTGGTAAGACTAAACGTTCATTCTTTGGATCAAATAACAAATAAATTCAGATATCGACAATCTGCCAGCGTATGAAGCCTTTATAGCAATGATCCTATTAATATGTCGCTCACTCAATGTAAGCCTCCACCGCGCTTCTTTTCTAAATAAATGTGACTTATCTTCGATTCATTTTCGATTTTCTCCTCCTAATGCTATTGATTTACAAAGAATACTATACATACCGCGGGTTGTGATTTCTTGAGCATTTCATTGTACTCGATGTTAGCCTATTTAACAACAATTTGAAAATAAAAAATAAAAAAGCGATTTCTTGGTTGATAGAGGGACAAGTGGGCGGGGGGGGGGGTATATTAGATCCGTCAGTCAGTCTTTTGTTAAACGTTTTTCCTTTTGTTGTTGTCGTGCAAGAGACGATCATTGCACGGTTCCCCAGGTTTTCTTTTCATATTTCTATACTTATTATTGTTATTATCATTACTGATATTATTATTATTATTAGTATTATTATACGATTATTATAATTGTGATTATTATATTTGCACTTATTATTATCATTATTATCATCATCATTGTTATCATTATCATCATTATTATTATTATCATTAATATTATTATCATTATCAGCATAATTATTATTGTTAATATTATTTTTTTATTATCATCAGCATTATCATCATTATCAATACTATATTACTATTGATATTATCAATTTTATTATTATTATCATTATTATTATTACTTTTACTATCATTGTTATTATCATCATCATCATCATCGTTATCATCATCATTAGATATATCATCATCAATATTGTCGTTGCTACATATCGGAGTTTATACTAGTTGTTTTCTTTTGAATGCCACGCATGTCCCGAAGTGCAGATTATAAGCACTTTACACTTGACATTTGCGGTCTTTAATAAGCCTGATTTGTTCAGTCTGAACTTGCACGTTTCCCGAGACTGCCTTGATGTTATTTCCCATTCCTTTACATACGGCAACATGTACCTATAAACCTAATTGGTATTACTTCCCTTTTTCAACATTTTTTGTGTCATTATCTCAAAAGATATTTGTCACACAGTACAGTCAATTCCATCAGTTTACAAGTTGAACTCACCAGATTGCACCTATATTTTATTCTGTTTGCACTATCATGCCTCATAACACTGCATGTGCCTTGCTACTAGTTACAATGCCAATTCAATTTCGGTTCTTCAGTTATCCTAAAGTTATATTGTTTCTCCTTTCACCCACTTAAGTTTCTTCATCTGTTTCCTCTCCGTGCCAGATGATGCAATCCAGGAGTATTTCGAAACTGTTGTCTCACTTTTTTTTAACAAATTATGAATGGCAAAACGCTAAATCACGTTGATACTATGATAAGAATTTATCATAAAAGTGAAATAGTTTCGAAATCCTCTATCTTCAGGTTTGAGAGGAAAGAGAGAGGAAGGAACATCATTGGGGGAATAGCAACGTGGTTCAGTGTTTTGCCGTTCATATATGTGTGTGTATGTATATGTATGTATATATAATATATATATATATGTGTGTGCGTGTGTGTGTGTGTGTGTGTGTGTGTGTGCGTGCGTGCGTGCGTGCGTGCGTTCGTGCACGCGTGTGTGCGTGTGTATGAATAGAAAACAAGCCACAATAAGAAAATGAAATGTGGCTGTTTTCTTTTTCATATTTGTGTACACGTTATAGTGTTGTGTTCATATATACATATATATATATATATATATATATATATATATATATATATATATATATATATATATATATATATATATATATATATACAATATATATATATATATATATATATATATATATATATATATATATATATATATATACAATATATATATATATATATATATATATATATATATATATATATATATATATATATATATATATATATACACAATATATATATATATATATATATATATTATATATACAATATATATATATACATATATATATATATATATATATATATATATATATATATATATATATATATATATATATATATTTATATATATATATATATATATATATATATATATATATATATATATATATATATATATATATATATATATATATATACAATATGTATATTATATATACAATATATATATATATATATTATATATACAATTTTTATATATATATATATATATATATATATATATATATATATATATATATATTCTATTTGTCCGTACATACAAGCGGGCTCTCACATTCACTGCAATTATTTGGAAGTGAAAAGGGAAATGAGTGTATTCCCTTAAATGTGATTTCCTTTTCATCACTTTATTGCTGATTTTTCTTCTGGAATCCTTACGTAGTAATTTGCATAGCATTACCAAAAATACCAAAAGGTAATGATGTTTCTGTGCCTATTCTGCATCACCAGATTTGTTTACTTCGAGGATAGCAGTTGCAAACTATCCAGCTATTTACTGTTGATAATTTTCAGATGCGTAATTTTGCTACATCAGTTGAATATTTTGTGCAGTGAATTATGGCCTGTAATCGCGACACGAGTTTTTTGTACTATGAAAATACGGTCTGCCCACTCCAACGATTGCCATATGCAGTATGTTCATGAAAATAAACATTTTTCTTTTCTTTTTCAGACACTGTTTTGATACTGAAATGATAACAGTTTTTGACCATATTTCATGACAAAGTTTGTAGACTCAATGAATACACCCAATATGGATATACCTAAAATTCGTCCCCCGACATCTGAGATACACCGAGAGCACCACAGGAAGAGTAAGACGAACTCCATTAATGGCATGGGCAGTGTTTAAGGTGGTAGCTGTCTTAATTTTGGATGTAGGTTCGTAGGTGGTGAAGCTTTATATGCACACCGGGAATTATATCGCTATTATTAAATAGGTTGTTCCAGCGTACTTCGAAGACGCCGAAGGAGCATATAAATTGGGATTTGATGATCAGTGTCCGATTTTGCGTTATTTGTCACTGTAACCACCGTGATCCAAAATTTATAGATTGTTTCGAAGTGTACACTTATCCTGTTTTAAGTTTGTTCAAGTATATACTACTGATATTTCATAACGGGTGTGAATGTTGACATAGCACAATCTAATTTTAACTTTTGGAAGTGATCGAGACAACTAATACAAGTTCTTCAATGAAAAGTTGCATCAACCTGCTTTACTGATTATTTTTTTCATATTTCTTTCTTGATAGCGTGTTTTGATAAGTTTTAGTGTGTGGGAGTTAACGTTTGTGAAACTATTATTTAATGAAACATATTCCAAACCTTTGATTTTTACATAGTTTACTATATGGATCAGTGACTAACGATTGCCTTTTTGCTGAATCTATAGTTCTGACTTTTTTCTCTTGACTGACTAAAATTGACATTTATATTTACATTTTCCTTCTGGAAACGCAGGCCTAAAAATATTCCAAATAAAACCTCATTTCCTAATTCTTTAAGATGCCTTGAGGAACCCAAGAATTCATTGACATCATGGTAATGTTTATAGAAAACATAGATTTTACTCATGCATGATTTCCTTAAAAAAGTAATTGTTACCTGTTTTAATTATTTAAACACTGTACTGTTCTTCAAAATGACTTCAGACCTTCTACTTGTTTTCTTATTCCTTTGGATCAGTTAGACCTATTCCTGTCAATGAGACCTATTCGTTTGTGTTTGTGAGGAATTTGTAGAGAAGACTATAGAGGACATAATGTCATGTTTTATATACTATATATGGATTATTTCTTCAAGTTAGTGTGAGTGCCTTTTGTATTCTTGAATAATGAGTAGTTATCAGATCAACTACTTTCAATTCATACATGATAATGTTTTATTGACACTTCATTATGTAGTATTAGCATCACAGCATCTGGTAATTAAAGTGCAAGAATTTTATCCAACTATCCTGAACACTTCGAATCAAAATAATTACTAAACCTAAAGTAACCCAACCTAAGTTAAACTGTTAGATAAGAAAATATTTACCTCAATAACTACGTATTTTTAGTTTCTCGGAATTGCAGAGAACTAATTCATATACAGAAATGCTTAACTATTTAAAAGAGAAAAGAAAAATAAAGGAGAATAATCACAAATAAACAAATGAGTAAATTGCTTTATATTTTCATAGATACCTTACACCATACTATTTTTGTCCTAAAATATATTTAGCATTTTGTATATCTAGAGGTTTTCCATTCAAAGAAAGTCAAAACACCTCAAACGGTAATTACCACATTATGAATACAGGGTCATATACAAATGTTTTTTATCTGTGTTTTATCATTTTCATTGGATTAAATTTTAATTGTCTATATGTTTGCCAGCAACTGTTTCTCTGTTATCAGTCAATGTATGATGAGAAAAATAAAATTGGTTGTTTCTTATAATTTATATTCTAAACTCTTCCTTAACCCATGTTAAGTAAAATGTATTCACTGTTAGATTGCTTTGGGAAATGTCTCTGCAAAGAGATGGCTCTGCAAGTGCTTAGCTACAAAGGAGTCAATTAGTAGACCTTGTGAGCTCACTTGATTTCACCTTTCCTTTGAGTTTGCCAGAAAAACACTGTTTCTACTAATGCTATCAATATTTATGTTATTTTATTGTAGACATTAAAAATATTATAGTGCTATTGACATTACTAACAGCATTATTAGATGCCACAAAATATTTTCAAAAATCAAGGAAAATGGTTAACAGGTGAGACAGGTAATACTCGTAACTGACTCACCGGTGACTTAGTACTTGTGAAGCCATCTGTGTAAAAACAATTAATAAATTAAACTCACAGTGGGAACTACACGTACATACATGCCATCCCCAACAGCTTCAGTTAATTGACGGGATAAAATTAGACTCCTGACAGTATAAAAAGTTCAAAAGATTTTCAGAATAGTAAGTCCATTCTTCTATCATTTATCAGGGTCAGTGAAGGATATACTGTTACTTTTCTATATCACATTTGTCACTGGCCACATAGATTTTTGTTGTCTCAAATTTTAGTTTGAAATTTAAGGTAGGGTTTGTTGCATATTTACTAAGGGACTTTCCTTTGTACCATTTTACTACATACATACATATGAATGAACCTTTGTTATGAAGTAACCAGGATTTCAAATTATTTCAAAAGGTTAAAATCATTTGATAGTTCATATTCATATCAAGGTAAAGTATGAACACAATAGTTCTGCTTCGATACTTAGTGTACAGGAATTTATGGAAAACAACCAGTCACCATCTATGTCTAAAATCTTTACATTCCTATCCTGTCATGTAATTAAAAATAATGGATCTTTCAAAAAAATTGAAAATGAAAAGAAAAAGAAAAGAGAAAAAATTAAGAAAATGTTGAAGTACAATATAAAAGGTAATATTTCTTAAGAGTTACTGACTTCAAGCAAAGGTCACTTTCTTATAAAAAGGAAATACAAACTTTACAATATCAAAGACATTCTTGTTTCCATATTAAGCTTGCAACACCGGTCTGGCTTTCACGCTTGACAATTGTTCATTGGCAGCTGAGAAGCCTGTTCCTCCCTGTAATGAAAGTATGAAATTTAAATATTCTCAACAAATAGAATACTAAGCACAGCCTTAAAGTAGGAAAAAAAAACATCACTATACAGAACACTAATAAAAATGTCAACACATGAATCTGGCTACTAACCCTCTGCAATACAATGATGTCCTTGTCTACGAGTTTTGCTCCTGTAATTGGGTGCAGCATGTCTTTCTTCACCAATTTCTCAATACAATCCAATGTAACCACATGACCTCTGCAAAACATCCACAAAACATATTATTAACTATCTTTAACTATTTTTAGAATATCAGCTTGGAACAGAATGACATATCGAGATACAAACTTACAAATAATAACTCTTAGTAAAAAGTACTGGGAGAAAATTGATAACACATATCAACCACACAAACTTCAAAAAATATAATAACAAGGATTAATCACAATTGAAAACATATACTGCCCATGAACTCTCTCGACGGAAAACAAATATTAACAAAGCTACTTACGTCTGTCGAAGAATAGCACATGTGATGTTGTTCCTCAGGATGTCCCCTGTGACTGGGCACTTGTACCTGTCCCTTCGGCCATCAAGGAGACCCTTGTCTTCTGGATCAGCCAGTGTGAACTTGACATCAACAAGGTCCTTTACTCTTAAAGGCTTTCCACTTATGGGACAAAAGACGGTCTTGTCCTGAAAGGTAATATAAATTGAATTACTAGTAATTCAAAAATTAAATAAATTCGTCTCTTATCTTGCAAATATATTATACCTGAACTAACTAAATAGCATAGCCTGGAGATGATGAGGGGTTCACATCATGGCTGACTTGGGTGCATCTCTAGCAACAAGGCATTCACATCATGTTGCAAAGATGTATGCATTACATTCTTTATGAGGAATCCACATGCCCACACCATATGCCCTGGGGCACTGCCTAATGAAGAACAGGATGTGTAATGCTATGACTGGCTTTGTTTTGGTGAATTTTAGTGCATAATTCATTTATGTGGACCTTCATTGTAGTTTATGAGATCAGTCTCTTTGTGTCAACTACTCACATTGTCTTCTGGCGCTCTGCCAGTGTGACAAAAGGGAAGTACTTGGGCATGGTGGCAGCAACCTTGTATATCACTGCATATAATCTCTTATTTCATAAGAATGAGATTTGGAAAAATTAGTGATTTTTATTATTTTTTACATTTCAACAAAACCACACATGGTCTTGTGCACAGAATGTAACATACCTTACTTATTGAAATGGACTCTAATGCACATAATCAGGCTACTACAAGTTGAATCTCACAACTAAAATGCATATCATGCATCTCTGAATATACAAAAACATTAAAATCCTGTTTTGAATAAGAGTGATATAAAAAAAAGAAATCTCATCACTCTGTTAGTGTAGCATGGTCTGAAAAAGGCCAGTTTGTCATGCAACCTCCCTGGAGCAGAGGCCAAGTGAACCCCAATATCCCCTGGAGGCAATGAGTTAACCCATCAAGTTACTTCCAAAAATTTGATAATAGATGATCATTTTTTTCCACATCTTCAATTTTCTTTTTACCTTACCTTTTTTATTTTATTTTCTTGACATGAATCAGTCCACCACGTATTTTATTATCTATTTTAACTAATGAACCATTACAGCAGTCACTGTCATCATGCAGGAAGTAATACAGTTAAACACAAACTTACTGAACATCTTAATCAACCTGCCCCCTTCTTTGCATATAAATATACATCAAACATGATTTGGTAAAAAAGGGGTTAATCCACTGATGCTAGATACATGCTATGATGAAAGTGCTGATCTAGAATTCAGATCACAAGATCACAAGTGATTAGAGCCTGTAGGTTGAGGCAATGTGTAAGTCAAAGTGTCCCCTTAATGGTGGGTTCTCTCTGTTCTGCACACTATATAGGAATAGAATTTTATGGTTCCCCTAGTACTAGTTATCATTTGCTGATGCTTTTATTGAAAGACAGTAACCAGCTTGTTTGAAATGTGGGCTCGGAGGAGGAGGAGGAGGAGAAGAAACATTACTCCCACTCTTCTACTTCTCTCTCATTTGGTTGACCTTAATATTGACCCTAATGCAACCAATACAAATGAACCAATTAGTTCCTTTTACTGCTGGCTTAATTTTACAATTTTCCAGTTTCAACCCATTTCGGGCTAAAGAACATACAAGATATGATATCTGATCTACCAATTACTTAATCACTTATTGATTCTTACCTTGATACATTATTGCTATAAACTTACATTTATTCATGAAATGTGACTCTATGCATCTACTTGTGAGTTTTTGTATTATTCATATTTTTTATGTATTATATGCATGTACACTGCCCAAATATATTCCTAGGACAGCACTGTTATGTAGCAGAGGTTGACCAGCTAGCAACCCTGACAAGAACAACGATTGGTGCATTTGTAGGTGGCAGTACAATGAATGGATGGGTATTACTCTGGGAAAATATATCATCAAATGCCATGAATTATACATAGCATTTCTTTTGAACCCATCAACCAAAATAACTGCATAGTATGAAAAACACTCTTACCTATGTATTATTCTTAGTAAAAATACAATTACCTAATCATAGGATTACTAGCCGAAAATCTAATTCATTAATTATACTGCCATATACACATGTAGCACGTCCACATATTTTTTAAAATTAATTTCTATGAATGTAGGTCAAAGGTTACTTGTTTACAGGCATGAGCAGACATCTGGTTTGATAATGATGGGCAGAGGAGTAAATGAAGAAGATCAGGGTCTAAGTCACTGCCTCCAAGACATTTTTGGTAATTATGCATTTCAAAATCTCTGAAGACACAAAAAATTACCCTTTTAGATGTCTATATTTTTATTTTTATTTTTTCTAATCACCCATTGCCTGGAATTACTGGGAGGGCAGTCACCCCTCCTTGCATGTTTATGTTGCCAAATGTACCAAAAGTAAAATCATGAGAAATATGATGATGTGTATCCTATTGTGCCTCTCTCGCTGCCTACTTTCCTGGATCACTTTTAATTCATTGTTGTATATTCTAGCAACTACAGGTTGAATCTCGCAACTGAAATGCATATTATGCATCTCTGAATATGCAAAAATATAACATCATCTTTATCTGTACAAATGTGTAAGTAGAAAGGTATATCATATTAGCAGATAAACAAAAGGCAAAACCTCTCCTATTCAAACAAAGATTAGTACTGTTCTGTACATTTCCCTTCTGCAAATAAGGAGTTGGCATCTAAAGCATGCTATTCATACATAACTGATACAATACTCCACACACTAGAAGTAGTCACTGTCAGGGAAAGAATGTAAACAATCACTGCAACACACTTACAGGCTTCTGCAATTTTGTTTCCTTGCTGGAAGGTGTCAGAGAAGGGATCCAAAAGCTGGGCAGTTTCTTGTCCTTCCCAGCAGCCATGTTAGACACTGAAGCACCCTTGTTAGTATCACTTGTACTGGAACCTGAAAAATGGGATACAATTACTTTCTACTTATTACCTGACTCATCATCATCATCATTATATTAATAATAATAAGAGTAATAATAATAATAACAATAATAACAATAACAATAACAACAACAACAATAATAATAATAATAATAATGATCATGACATTGATAACGATGATAATAATTATAAAAACGATGATAAAAATGAAAATCAAAAAATAAAAAATAAAAGTAATGTACCAACAATATAACAAATAATACTATTATACAATGCAAACAGGGTTTACAACAGAATCCTTCAACCAACCTTGGGCAGCCTGGGAAGCAGAAGCAACAGCTCCCTCTGTCTTCAAGAACTTCTCAATGCGGGAACGGTGTTCTGCTTCTCCAATCTCCTCAATCTCTGCCTGCAAATTATCACTATTCAATGTCTGTTCAGATTATGCCAATTATGCAAAGTGCTTCTTCACCAAGGAGTCAATTACTAGTCCACATATTCCAATCATTTACTCTTTTCTTTGATTTTTCTTTATTCTTCATTGCTATTAGTACTGTGAATAACATAATAATAATTATAATGCTGATAATAATAATAATCCTATCTCATTCCATCCCAAGAAAAGTTTTATTATTACTATTATTTAGGTTGATAATGTTAACAAATAATAATCCTAAAAAAAAAATTAATTACAATAAAAAAATGAAATAGATCTTTTTATGCTAATTCAAGAAGTTGTGCTAATTTACAAAATGGTATGTTGTATGGTTTAGAGGTAGCACTTGAATTTGCAGATCTTAAGGTACTTTTCATTGGGAGTGCTAAGGATGGATCAGGAATGAGCATGATACAGGAAGGACACATAGGATGATTTAGAGACATGAAAAGAGAGGCAAGAGTGAGAGAGTCTGGGCATGTGCAAAGGATTAATATGGGGTATTTTGGGAGAACAGCCACCAAGCAGGAAAAGAGGAAGGTTAAAGAGGAAGTTTATGGATTTTGTGAGGGAGAATGCATTGGTTGGTGTGACAGACTAAGAGATGCAGAGAAGAGAGTGAGATAGAAACAGATGATTCACTAGATCCCTGATACTGAGTAGCTGAAAAGAGAACCTAATTATGATATTGAGAAAATACAAAAATAAAGATTGTCTGTAATACCTAAAACATTTGCTTACCTGTTCCTTCTTGCATTGCTTTTCATATTCCTTTATTTTACGGCTAATCTCATTCTTCTTACTAATAATATATTCCAGGATGGATTCCTTGTCAAACAAAATACCATCTGAAATGAAAATACTTAATCAACATATTTCAAAAGTAACAGTCTTCCACTTAAGCCCTGTTCTTAATATTATATTATCATAAAATATTTTTTTGATCTTCCCCTAGCACGTACACACCAAAATATATCTGTATAAATGTGGTAGACAGGTGCCATGCTTTCTTCACCCTCTCCATTCCCTACAAACCTGTGTGTTTCTTCAACCATTCAAAATCTTATCCCCTTACCCATTTTTGTCTTTCATGCTGCCAACTACACTGGAAGTACAAACAAACCACCACCAACCTTAACCCATTGCCACCAGGGAAAATGAATAAAAAATGGGGAAAATGCTGTGCTCATTTTTTATATTTTTTTGTGAAATGTCTACACATAGATGGCTCTGCCTTAACTAATTTCACCTTTCCTTGAATTGGTGGGAAAATATATTTTTTACTAGTGCTATGAATATCGATGGTGTTATTTTTATTATAATTACTATAAAGTTTTCGATTATTAAAGAAAAGGGTGAACGGGCGAGACAGGCAGTTCTCGTAATTGGCTCATTGGTGACTTAGTACAAGTGTACCCATCTATGTGTAAAAACAATCAAATAAGTAAACTCACAGTGGGCATGGCATGGCATGCCCATCGGCAATGGGTTAATTTGGCACATTTTTAGTTCAACCATATCCAAACATTCACAACCATAACCAAACATCCACAGAGAAGCCCTGGCCACAACACATATCACACCCTTGATATCTGAAGAAGAAACCTCTAACTTACCAGGCGTAACCACGGGATTACGGCAAGGATGAAGGGAGAGGCTGCAGCAGTCAAAATCCTTCACTCCATCCTTTCCATATCGTAGCTTCAGAGAACCATACCCAGATGATTTTGCGTCTTTCTTCTTTTCGTGATATGAGTAAACAGAACTTGCTGTGCAGTTTTTCGAGTGTCGGGTCATTCTGATCTATGAAACTGGAAGAAATAAATCAACTTGATTCATCTACTCAAGCGTCATTTATTGATTATCTTTTAAATATTAATAAAAAAATATTGTCTATTTTTATGTATAATAGCTATTTCCGATATATGATCATATGAAGCTACACCAAGTATTAAAAAAGAGTTTACTACACTTGTGTTATTTCCATCCTTAAGATATAATCTAGCTTTTGATAACCCAGGAAAGCACATAGCATAAAGGTAAACACAGAATACAAAATTTATTTTTGTGAATTAAAGGCTATGAAAATAGTGTAAGGACAACACACACATAACACATAATATTCAGTTCCATTCATAATGCATAAAAAATAG